TTTTGCTGTCTTGAGAATCCCAGTGCCCTTTCTGCGCATCCATATGAACCACCGTTATGTAGCATTAGAAGCGTAACCAGCGGAGCTGCCTGGCGCAGTGGAAGGGTGCTGGGCCCATAACGCACATATCGGTGGATCGAAACCACTCCATGCTAATTGTTTCGCTTTTAGTTTCTTGAAGGGAATGCGCATCAATTTTGCTATGGAGAGAAGTGAATTACTTCAGAAAGAACTTTATTCCTACCAAAAACTCATGGAATTATGAACAAAATTAAGAAAAAACGTAACTTGACTTGACCGCGCGACCGTTTATCTAATGCTACGCAGTTTATAAATATAAAATACCAGAGGCCAAAACCGGCGTGTAGGATGTTGATAGCAATTTAGGAAGGCCATTAACGGTACCGAAAAAGCACATGTAAGCGTTCCTACCACATGAGTTAACCAGTAGCCAACGGAAAAGGTGTCAAAAATTTGATCGATAAAACGATAACCGACCAATAAATAGGAAATTTAGCAACTGTGGCGGCATGGCAGCACTCTAGCAGGTCTGGAAGTTCCGCGAAGCCGCATGAACAGACTTGTATAAAATATATTTTCACACTTACTAGTAGGCTTCGTTTCTGTATAGTTTTGCACTTCATGCAGTTTGGAAACGTGTTAAAAACACTTAAACAAATAGATAGAAGCAAAAAGAAATCTTCGGAGGATCATTGGGCCAAACAGGTGCCCTAGTTAGTGTGCACCGCCACAGCTTATTATCGACACTAAGTGTGATCACCGCACGCAGATCAAAACCGAGAATTTCGATATAATGGTAAGCTGTAACAGTACTCCTGAGCAATTATAAGTAAAAATTGTTCCTCTATGACAGCGAAGGTCAGTGGTTTACTCGTAAGAGGGTACAGTAATGTGATGGACTAGAACTTGTACAGGAAAACTCGCACGCAGAGGTTCAGCTTTGGGCTTCAAAAAGGGGGCCTTCGGTATTCTTCTGGATGATATGGAGCTCTTTCTGGTTGAGCGAGTTCAGTGGGACCTACCTTTCCGCTTGCTTTACTAAAATGGGCAAAAAAGGTTTCAAAACGAAAACTCTGTATGTTGAATTCATTCTCCACTGCCATAGTTCAACAGCCTTTTTCAATGTAGCGTCATCGAGGTAATAAAACATAATTATATTCATGCAGCAAAATTCTGAGGGAACTTTTCCATGCAAATAAAGGTTGGACGGCAGACTTTTGCGGATTGGTTTGGAGCCTCAAGCCTCTTCCCATATAAGGACTCAAAACT